ACACACACACACACATACATATACACACATACACACATACATACATACACACACACACACATACACACACACACATATACATATACACACATACACACACACACATACACACACACACACATACACACACACACACATACACACACACATACACACACACATACATACACACACACACATATATACACACACACACACACATACATACACACACACACATACATACATAGACACATACACACACATACATACACATACACATACACACACACAGACACACATACACATACATACACACATACAGCATCCTTCCATTGGCCACATTCCATTAGTGTAGAGGTTTGGGAAAGTCCCCCCCTCCATTAGTGCTGATTTGCTTTTCCTTTTCACCACACTCACCCCCCCCGGCGGGAATTAAAGCTTGAAGAGCTGTTTGGTTGGCTGAACTGAGATAGGTTATGTCTTGGGGGTGTGACCGGGTCAGCTGGGGGTGGGGGGCTCTGTCTCCTCACTGATGCTCAGTAAACAGCCCCCTCTTGTTACCAGATGGCCTCAGCTGGGATTTCTGTGATGGGGGGGAAGAACCTCACCTTCCTGAAGACTGTAGCAGCCCTGCTCTTATCCCTAAATGACAGAAAGGGTGGAGGAACCGTTTGCAGAGGATTTAGAAACCCTGCGAGCTGCGTATGACATACAGTGTTCCTGATGTAGGGGGCGCCGTTTCTGAAGGACGGGCCCGTACTGACTTCCCACTCTTCACTCCTCCCACGGTTTGGGCAGGATCGAGCAGGGTGGGGTTGCAGTTCTTGGGTGTATAACGCAGGCCATGTGGTTTTTCTCAGAGCTTGATGTGCAGCATGAAGATATTTCATGAGCAGATGACCTGAGAGAGGCAGAAAACATGAACAGGAGATGCTGCCCTTGGGGATTTGTTAACAAGTTCAGCTCTGGGTGAGTGAAGAAACTTGGGCTTTTTTTGTTAACTCTCAGTCGCCTTTGAGGTGTTTTGCTTGGGCTGGGTCTGTCTTTGTGAGTCAGTGCCCACATGCGGTCGTTACAGAGCCCTCCGCGGGCTGGGAGTGCAGGGTAAGCTGTTCCTGTTCGCACCCTGGCCCTCCGCGGGCTGGGAGTTCAAGGTACGCTGTTCCTGTTCGCACCCTGGCCCTCCGCGGCTGGGAGTGCAGGGTACGCTGTTCCTGTTCGCAGCCTGGCCCTCTGCGGGCTGGGAGTGCAGGGTACGCTGTTCCTGTTCGCACCCTGGCCCTTCGTGGAGGCCGGCTGTCTCCCGTGGCCGCGCTTCTGAACGCTGCCTGGAATCGCTGCACGGAAGCAGAAGGGGCTGACGTGCTCTCCGTACGCCACACCCCTGCCCAGCTGGTGCGCGAACCGTGGGAGCCCCCTGACTCGGGGGTCCGGATAGCAGCTGTTAGTCGTGTAGCACAGCTGGAGCAACATGGGAAAACAAACACATCAAAGCTAGAATATACAGACCTTAATGCCTCTACAGGGAACCTTTAACACTGGCTGTGTGGAGCGCCGTTGTTTATCAGCATTCAAGCCACTCAGCTGAATGGGGCCCCAAAGGCTTGGGAGCCCCCTGTTGGTCACAAATATTCACTACACTAGGGGGGCCCAGGAACGACAAACTCGACTCGACTGAGTGTTTGGCTTACAGTTGGCCAGCGTGACCGGCTTACCCGAAGGGTCATGGCAGTGTGTGACCCCAGATTGCCTTTTGACCTTTTTCTATGCGATGACAATTTTCACATGAAAACGACGACTTGTTTTGATAGTATCCATTAGATGTTAGAACCTGTGTGTGGAGCTGCAGTGTTATATCGTTGCTGTGTTTGAGGTTCCGAATGGATCGGTGGCAGGTCATGTGATTCAGGGCGCAGGTCACATGATTGAGGGGGAGGTTAGCAAGCTTGTGACAGTTTATAATGTAAGACAGTGAGAGGCGTGTGTTGGCGGATGGATGATAACTTTATTAATCCCCAGAGGGAAATTTAGTTGTCATAGCAGCCAGGTAAATTTAAATGCAATTAGAACAATAAAATACTCAGGCAAAACACTGTAACAGACAAAAGTGCAAAAATGCATGAATTTGGGACAGAAAAATAAATGAATAAATAGATAAATCAGTGCAGAGACGCAAGGTAAAAGCCAAATGACGTCACTTAGTCGGGTTCCGTGACCATAGGTGGACAGATGAGTTATAGAGTCTAATGGCTTTAGGCAGGAATGGTTTCCTGTATCGTTCCTTTAGGCAGTGGAGCAGAATGATGCTGAAACTGCTCTTGAACTTGCCAAGTATCTTATGGAGAGGATGAGAGCCATAATAGCCAGCAGTTTGGCCAGTATTCTGTCCCTGGCCACCTCCTCCAGAGCGACAAACCTGCAGCCGACAACAGACTCTTTTTGATGAGTTTGTTCAGTCTGTTGCCATCCTTTGCTTAGATGTCTGCTCCCCAACACGCCACAGCAAAGAAGATGGGGCCCCAAGCAACATCTTGTATGTGTATTAGGGGATGATGGCCGCAGATGGGGGGCCGCAGTGCACAGACTGCAGGGGAGAGTTAATAGCCCTGGCAGTGACACCTGGAGGGTAGCTCACTCAGCTAGCTCTTTACCAGCTGAGCAGGCACTGAGAGCTACTGTGAAAGACGCTGAAAGTGGGTGGAGTGGCATTAAAATGACTGCCTGCCTTCATCCGTAATTAAAATATCCAGCGGAGCACTTTTATGAAGCTTTTGGTTTTAAACGGCACGTTTATGCCCATGTGGAAAAAACACCTGTGGTTTGAAAACAAACTCTGTTGGTGTCCAACCTGAGGGAGAGTCTCCCTGATGTGGGGGGGTTGTTCTGATTCTCCATTCACCTCTTTCCAAATCCCCCTTGCCTGTGTGTGTTTCTTTCAGGATTACCTCCGTGCTCCATGTTGTCAATGCCCGTCAGCCATTACGGCCCACTGCCTGTCGCTGAGGATTCTGGGATGTGTTTTGGTATGTGGGTGAAGTCGCCACATGAGAACTGTGCATCGTCTTGCCGTTCACACAATGTAGATTTAAGCACTTGTGACTTGTCAAACTTCTGTTTCAAAAGTTAAAACTTGTAAATCATGTGTCATTAAGGGGAAAACAGCAATTTAGGTGTTAGTGCTTCATCAATCAGAGAGAAACTCGATGTCCTCGGTGGAGTCGCCCCACTGTGATGCAGGTGGGGTGTCTCCTGGCTGTAGTTTGTAGTGAGTTTGCTGCCATTGCAGTATTAACCACCTGCTTCTCGCAATCTCACAGTGGATGTGTATTTATATACCCGTTTACCGGGCCCCTCTCCCTGCCACCTTGTGGAACCCCAACGCCCACGGAGGGAGAGGGCCCCCCCCAACGCCGACAGCGGGAGAGAGGGCCCCCCAACACCCACGGTGGGAAAGGGCCCCCGGTGGTGCCACTGAACGCCGATCACGCCACCATGCTAAATAGTGCGCCAAAAATAACCTGTCCAGCTGAAGCAGACCCAGCCGGGTGGCTCTTCCAGCCACGGTGAGGCCCCTGGGGGACAGGATGGGGCTGTAAACCCCCCCCTGCATTCACAGGGGACCGAGCTGTCTGCCAGGGTGGGTAAGGTGTCACAAGACATCGATGCTCCAAAGACATAATGTGGAAACTATGAGGGAGGAATTTTATTCATGTGGAAGCCGAACCGGCTGCAATGTGGGGGGGGGGGTTCAGGTATCCGTAATGGACTCTGTTCGCAGTACAGCCAGTGTGTTCGCTTGTAGCCCTGTAGAGCTGCATACCTGTTACATTTCTGTCTGGGCTCCTCGTAAAATCTGCTCACATTTGACAGCTTAAGGAGCAGTCAGTCAGTCGGCTGTGCCACGCTGTCCTGGGGGGTCCTGAGGACGGGGAAACGGGAGATGCACATAGCTTTATGCTTTCTGGGGCTTGAGCTCAAATTAGCCCGACGGGGTCCGGAACAGACCGTGAAGGCATTACCGCCTCAGACAAGATGGGCTGTTAAGGACCTTGCCAGGCTTCCCGGCTCTCTCTAGTACACTGGAGATAGTTGTGGAGCTTCACTGTATGCTGTATGCAGTGAAGGCCATACTGACCAGTGGAGTGGCCCCAACCAAGACAGGTTAACCAGGCACCCTGGACATGTGACCATCCCTCTGACCATGTGGGCTTTCCTATGCTTGTACAAACAGGTGTGGTGTAGTGGGGTGACCCTAGTTGAATCGGGGGAGGGGGTGATCACTGGGGGTTGGGGGGGTTAAGCAGAGGAACTCATGCCAGGCATAATCTGCACCCTGGCAGTCACTGGAATGCGAATCAGGACTTTCCTAATGAAATCTCCCAGACACCCTAAACCTATTAATAGCAGGCTGGGGGTGAGGTGGGGGGGGGGGGGGTTCTGCTTGCAGCTGAGCCCTGAAGCCCCCCAGTGTAAGAACATGCTGAGGCTAACTGGAGTTACTAAAGTGCCCATGTGTGTGAGTGAATGGTTAGGGTTAGGGTTAGGGTTAGGTTAGCAAAAGCCTCTGAAAAAGCATTACTTAGTAGCTGTGTTTACCCAGACGCCTCTGAAATACATCGAGAGTTTCTGTTCTGCTAAGGGAGAAAAAAGATGAAGGAGGGGTTCTCAAGTGTCATTTAATCCAAACTATACACATTAAAGGCACAGTCTTACGCAGCAAAAATAGGAATCTCTTTGGTTCAGGAAATCACTGTTTACCATCAGCTGAGAACAAAAACCTTGCCTATAACATATAAAACTCACAGCACCACACAGCTCTGTACAAACAGCCCTTCACTACAGGCGGCGGCCATGGCACCGACCCCACGACACCGACGCCACGGAACCGACCCCACGACACCGACGCCACGGAACCGACCCCACGACACCGACGCCACGGAACC